ACATTTTATTTTTAGTAAGCTTTTTTCTTTCTTTTTTTTCCCCTTCTTGTTGCGGATTTTGCTGACGTTGCCCAATTCCGCAGTAAATGCCCGATTTTGCAACTTCAGTGAAATCTGCAAAATCATCCCTATGTATAACCATAAAGCCCTAAAGACAGCCAAAATTAGACATTCTTGGTTTTTAAATCACTGGGCATTTCTACATGTGTGCATTTACTGCATAGTAACCAAAATTAATACACAGTACAGGCAAGCGTTTACACGTGCATGCCCATACTGCATTGTAAACGTGGCAACGTACTCTGACTTGAGCATAAATTTGATACCTGCTTCATGCAGGTTTCAAATGTATGCCCAATTAGTTACTCCGCAGTAATGCAAGTGTAGACGCCTTACTGCACAGTGGACTGACTTGGGACTAACTTTAGTATCAAATCAGCCCACACAACATTACAGTGCTTTAATACCTGCACGTGTAGATGCTGGACTATTCCTGCTTACTGCGCAGCAACCTACTATGCAGTAAATTTAAATTGGTGTAAATGTACATGTAGACATGCTCACTGAAAATGAAATTTGAAATACATGCAGTAACACAGATTTCTTATTTGCTCAGGGTACAGGTATAGATAGAAAAATAAGAGACCTTTGATGCATGGCTCAAGAAAAATAGACAGACAAACTTAACTTAGTATTTCTCGTCTTCCTAAGGTTTGTTTAATTTGAAACCCAGATGTTCCTTAAGTTTAGACACTCAAGCCATTAACGTTCTTTTAAACTTAAAAAGGTGTTTTGCGAAACAAAATAATTCAGCACTTAATGTAAGGTGCCTGCAGTAAAGAAACTGGACTAGAAAAAATGTATTAGTATAGTTTTCTTCCTGACTTGAAGGCTCCTATTTTCAAGTACAAGAGAAAAAGCAGCACAGCTTTCAGAACGCTTGCTGTTTACAGGCTCTGCAGAAATGCACAGAGGAAATGAAGCACAAGGGTAAACTCCACCAATGCATTAAAAAAGTTCTAGAGAAAACTACGGGATTCTGGGATTAAAAAGGTACTAAAAAACTTCTTTCAAACTGATAATTCTAGTCTAACACACACCCTGACAACAAATAGCAAAAATGAAATAGAGAAGAGACAGGTGCAACTTGAAATCAAGAATATTAAAAGAAGGACCAAAGCAAAATGAAGCAGAACACTCTGAAGAAACAAAGTCTGCGCGGAGTTTCTTCATTAACTGCCATGAAACCAGCCAGAGAATTCCCAAATCAACCCGTAAAATACAAGGTACAACATTTTGACTAACTCGCACTGCTGGCATCTACACATACACCTTGGGGAAAAAGAAAACCTTTAGGAAAAGATAGGCAGAATTCTAAGTTCCAAGTAATAAATACTCCTGCATATGCTACCTTTAGAAAACGTAGTTTCTTCAATCAGATTTTTATTACCTTCGTAGGGATGCATTTAAGATATTTTATGTGACTACATGTTATCTTACAAAAAGTCTTTTTACAGAGTAAGCTGCCCAAGCCAAGTACCTTAGATCATCTATCTGGTAGTTTCATGAGAACATGCAGTACTCAACTTCCTTCAAAGGCAATCAAATTAGCTAATTCCTAAACATCCAGAGGTAGGAAATAAGCCTTCACTTTAAGAGGCACTTATCAATATAAGAAGAAGGATGCATTGGACAGGTGAGTCTTTATAAGAATATTAATGCTGATTTACAATACTTTTCCTCTCACTATAGAGTTAGACAACAGGATGGTAAGAAATGCCCTGTCATCATTCTTACAACTAACAATAGCCAAGTGCAAAGAGTACTAGAGAACCCAGAAAAAACAACAAAGTTTCACCTCTATGTATTTAAATTGAGACTCTGAGAGAAGCTATTTGCTAAATTGTCAAGCCATGACATTTATAATATAGTATAGCCTCCTAAATCCAGATATCAAAAATCTGGATTTTTCAAAAACCTGCCACTTGCCCTTTGCCACTCTGGGATCAGCCACCACTCTCCCCGCCCTCCTGGACGCGGAGAGGGAAGCTTGAACACGGCACCTGCCACCACCATTCACCACTACACGTCGTCACTCTGCATGTGGCCGCTGCTCTGGGGCCAGCCACCGTTATCACTCTTTCCCACTCCAAGACCGGCTGCCATGCCTGTTTCAAAAATCCAACATTTTCAAATTTCTGTCAGGTGCTTGGTCCCGAGGGCACCAGATTTATGAGGTTATACTGTATGGGATTAAATAATTCCCAATGGCATTTCCTTTATAAAAAAATAGTTTTATTTCAGTAAAAAGTCCAGCCATCTCTTCAAAAATCTTTAGGAAAATACAAGAATTTGTCAGGCATCATGATAGTTACCAGCAGGACTGAACATGCAGATTCACTCCTAAACTTATTAAAAGGTAAGCTTTGGAGGATTCTTTGTACAATGCTTGTCACTGATATTCTTGTGAAGTACTACAAGAAAAGCAAAATATATTTCCAGTTCAAGTAACTAACGATCACATAAAGGTCCAAGTTCTGCTTCTTTGGATCCTGATTGAGGGAAGCAAAAATCAAATAAAAGCAGGCAATAGAGATTTCTATTCTAAACAGCAAGAGAAAAGCAATACGCTGCCTGATGTTTTAAACAAAGAAACACACATGCCCTGTTAAAACTTACCTACCACTCTGCAAAGGTACTGGGCAGTAATTACTATTTAGGTTTTCACTACTGTTCATTTTACTTGCATAACATTAATATACAATTAAATATAAATTTCAGTCTTATTTACCTCTTCAATTGCTTTTTGTCTTTTGTCTTCCATCTCTTTATCTAGTCTAAATAAAGAAAATTAAAAAGCAGTAAGTTACAAATACTGTTATTATATTTGAGGTTCTGGAAATTAGAAGTTCATTCAGTGTACGCCATTTTATAATCTTAAACTAAAACTAAGTATCAAATTTTACCAAATAAATCCATGCAAGGAATAATTCTTATTATGTGCAGTTCCTCTGTAACTATCTACTTTAAAAAAAAACCAAAAAGCTAAGTTCCACAATAGACAATTTTAATAGCAACACCTGAAAAAAAATACTGTCTTCATAATAGATCTGCTTCTTCCATCTAAATCCTGGAATAAAATAGAGCTTTACTTATAAAAACATTCTACTTTTAAACTTACTACATGTTAAATACATCCTTATTTTAAACATGACAAAAAGATTCACTATGAGGAATAATACCAGGTAGAGGGGGAGAAAACCCCAATGGAAAGAACATAAAGAAACATGCATGTAAATGTAGTTATTTCTGACAGTTTCTACCTGTCCTCAGTGCCCCTCTTCAAATGGTATGTATGTTATCCATCTTATCCTAGCCAATATACAAGAATCCCAAAATTTCCAGTATGAATTGTATAGTGCATTCCTTTTATATAATCTTATACAAAATAGTAATTCCAAAGAAATCATGTTAAATTATATTATAGTTTTCCACCAGTTAAATTTTCTGACCATTATTCAAATAATTTATTTAACTGCACGTTTCAGTTTCCTCTCCCTGTCAACAATATATATATTAGAAAACTCTCCTTTTAAGAAATTAATAACAGTATAATCCACAACCAGAAGAAATTCATACTGACAATTAGTTGTATAACCTCTTGTACAGAAAAGGATTTCAAGTATTTGTATATGGTTATTATACGTGAATAGTTTCAGACCATGTTTTTATATTTAGAAACCATTTGGGACAAATACCTAAACAACTGATGGAGCTATAAGTTAGTTCAAAACACTATGTAGAAGCCCTTTGCTGCATTACTGAACCTGGTTATTTATAAGTATGTTCATCCTCTCTTATCTCCCTTTCTCCAATCATTTTTCTGACTAGTTTTGCAATACCTTCAGAAAATTGCCACATGTAACTGAAAATGCAGATAGAACCAGTGGCAGGACACTGTAGTGAAAGCATCAGCAGTGACATAACTAGGGACCTACTCAAATCACAATTTCATGGATATTGTAGATATTGCGAAATCCACAGAAAGAAATAAATAAATATAAAATAAAAACTTACTAAAAATAAAATGGTAGCTCCCCAGTGCGAGCCAGCACCAAACATTTGAGTCCTGTTTCTTGTTTTGGGGTTTTGTTGTTCTCCCGCCCTGGCGGGGGGTCGGGCTAGAAGATCTACTAGGTCCCTTCCGACCCGAAATCTATGAAACTATGAAACTATGAGCAGTCCTCCTGGCCACGCACACTGGAACTAAGGGGGCTGGTAGCACTATGGCAAGCAGGAAAGAGCCAATCCCACCCCTCACTGCTGACTGACTGAGAGGGCGACCTGGCACGCAGCCACGCCCCTCTCCACCAATCAGTAGCAAGAGGCAGAGCCATATGCCCCAGCAGCAGTGGGGAACTCCACCAGGGTCCCTCAAACAGAAGTGCAGGAAGCCTCACCACAATAAACCCCTGAAAATGGGAGCCAGCCCCGCAACCTGCCCGTGAAATTAGCTGGCTGCCACCTTGCTTTGGGTAGATCCCTAGCCATAACTCTTATGATACCACTATGGTTGCTGCTGGACCGTCTCTTGCGTAAAAATGCAAGACAGCGGCTGGGGCCGGACTGTGTTGTGGTAACAAGACTGCTACAAGAAATATCAAACTCCACTAATGGCTTGCAACCCATTAGGCATTGAAACAGGGGAGTATTTGCAGGACCCAATACTAGACCCATGCCATAAAATAATAAAAGCAGTTAAAATTGTTGGCAGAGTCCTGATGTGCTCATCACATATGTGTACCTAAGAAAGCCCTACACCTGTCGATGTATAGGAGAGTTGGTCAGCCCTGTAAAGGCAGGAAAAACAAACTAGAGGAAATTCCCCACGTACCAGTGACTGAAAGGTGTGCTTCTGCCCAAAATCTGCCCCAGGTAATCCAGCCTCTTTACAGGATTGTTCCATGGAGCTTGGCATGACAAATAATGGAGAGGCAAGATTTTATATCCATAACAGAGACTTAAAAAAACAAAATAAAAATCTAAATAACTGCAGGAAAAAAGCAATGTTATATGCACTATCATTTAATAGAAAATGTTCACTCTTCATAGAGATACATTAAAAATGTACGTGTGTAAGCACAACTTTCAGGTATTCAAATATTGCTTCAGTTCACTAGGTAAAACAAAAAGCAACATACCTGGCATGACTTAAATACATTGCTTGACGCCGAACATCTTCAGAGTCAATTTCCACAGGATTTATTAGAGCAAGCTGATCAATAGACCACCTAAATTTTCCTGGGGTCTAAGAAAAGAACAAAGAGCATAGTGCTTACTATTCCAAGCAAAAGGAAACAAAACCCACATATCTTTAAAAGGAACGGCACTTCCATTACCTCCCTAAGATGACAGCAATTGTTTCAATCAGTGTAAGCTAGATATTTAAACAACAAAAAAGGAGAAAGTGACTACTTAAATGTTAATAATTTTATTTTTAATAACCAATACCAATACTATAGGAAGTGAAACAACAAAGTATGTCTACTATTTTGCATTAACTGATGCTTTCCATTATCAAAGTTCTTAACAAATATGTCTCAGAGAACTACTATGAGAATACCACCATGCCCCTTTCACAGATGAGAAATGGACATGAAGGAGGTAAATGATGTATCTAAGGATCAGATCCAGTTCAGAAATTAGGTCCCTAAATTCAAAACTGAGATCCAGAAATACCTGTTCAGCTGCCATCTAGCCCTGTAGGAACCTGAAGTCATTGGTGCCTAGAAAATTTTAAAGTCAAAAAGTATGTCACCTAGAGCTACATTTCCACACATGGCTTGAGCTGATTCCTGTCTGAACTTGGGGCCAAAATCATACCAAAGACCAGCTAAAATTCAAAACCTAGAAATTCCCCTAAGTCCCCTGATACACATGATCCGTGTCTTCAGAGGACACCTAACATGCACCCACATACAAGTTCTCATTCATACAAAAATGCAGTTATGGCTGCTTTCTTTTTAAAAAGGAAAAGAAGGTGCTAGTGGTATCCATCTTATGTGATAGCTCGGTAGCTACAGACCTCACCAGAGACCCAGATTCAAACCTACATCAGCTACCTCCAGACTCCATGTGTTCTGAGGTAGAGACACTTCCCATCCTCCGCACTGAAACTAGGCCACTGTATAGAAGAGCGTTCAAGACTTAAAACAGGGCCAGATAAAGCATGGAATAGGCGGCATTATGACTACTGAGTTTAAAATTACACCCAGCCTACTTGAATCAAAAGGTTGGAACAAGGGTTACTGCAGATAGCATTTCTCTACAGAAAACCTAGTTAACCAATACTGTTAATCTTTAAGTCAACAATACAATTAGAATAGTGTCATGTACAACTAGCTGGGTTCTCTTAAAATCACTAAAACTACAGTAACATCATCAGGACTTTCAAAACAGTTACACAGCACTACAAACAAACAAACCATAGTAACACTGTAAGCTTCCACAGAAGGAACTGTGTTTAAATTCTTGTAAAAATATTTCAAGTTGTATTACACATAATATGTAGTTTACAAAGTGTGAAAAATTTGTATGTGCAAGTATTGATATTTCTTCCACATTCATGTACTAAGGATTAAATCTTACTGATGAGGCTTTTGTCGATTTAAAGACAGAAGGACTGGAAACAACGTGTTCCTGCAGACTATGGTAATCACTTGGACTTTCAAAAGGGTTCAGAACAGCAACCCGTCCTGGAGTTTCCGGCGTTATCTGCATTTTAGCTTCTTTTCTATCACCCATAATACAGTACAATACCTAGAAGGAAAATAAGTTATAATTTTAGATTGTTCAGTACCCCATGGTTTTGCAGTAAGAAACCATCATTTAGAGAAACACTAGCAATTCAAAATCTAGTCAGACGGAAGAGAGTATAAGAAGTTTAAATTTGGTCAGTTTTCTGATCAGTTTCAGATAAATCAGAGAATGAGAATTAGGCCCCTGCTACAGGAAACATGTTATGCAATTAACTGGTTAATTGTGCAGTAAGTGTAGACCAGCTAGCTACATGTGCAAGGTAGTTATCATGCAATTAACTGGTTAATTGCTCAATAAATTTAGACCAGCTACAAGTACACTGTAATTGTCACAGGATAATGACTCTATACCTGGTTTCTATACCTGGCTTTAATTTGAACATGAACCAGATGCCATTTTCATTGACCCAGTACAGACCCCAAAAAAGGTTTACTAGATAAGGTAGCTAAGTATGCCCCAAGATACTTTGAAGAGCATCTCAACAGACATGTGGGGATTGCATCATTGGATCAATGCCAGAAAAGCAGCCATGAGTTCAGCCACTAACTTATCTCCAACTGGAAGGGCAACATGCACACAGCTATCACATGACTTTTCTGTTCCAGGACAATTACCAGCACAACTGGTCCCAGGACACATGAGATGCCTGTTCATATCCTAAGCGTGATCCTATTCCACCCAGTTTGAATAGCTGGACAATCATCCAAACCCATACATTTTGCTTTGTAACTGCACTGATCTCAACCTTAAGACTCCATCACAAAAAAGTAGCAATGAGGAGGTGGAGAAGAATCCAACAAGGTTTAAATTTTCCTGGGGCTTTCACAGTAGAAGAGAACCACGCCTAGGCACTGTTTTAACAGACGGAGCAGCATCTAGCCTTGAGTGTCTGAAGAAAACTCTTTACTGAAAGGCTGTATGTGGAAAACCTAACAGTATACAGGTACCACTCAAAACCATGCTTCTCCCAGAGAAGGCAGTGCCTTTTCTTGGATAAAACCTGCATCCTCCACCCCACCCCCCAGCCCCCAAAATGAGTTCAGGGAAAATGGGATGTGCATTATATGCAATAAATACTGATCCCCAAGTCAAGTCAGTCTAGAGGCTGCTACAACCATTGGGGTACCTCAGACCCTGTAACAACCCTCCTCCGCTGCACATTGTGTTCAACTAGCTTTGTGCACTCTTGTCAGTTGAAGCCCCGCCCAGCCCTTGATACTGATTCCCCCAGGTCTGGAAATTTGGTGGGGCAATGCAGTACCTGCATTAACTAGAGTCCTGAGCCAGATGACACAGCCCTAGCATAGACTGGAGCCAGTGCACAGGATTAGAGAGCAACTTTAGCCGCCAACTGCCACAGGCAGGGGTTGAATCCAATGAATGCCCTTCAACCCATCACACCAGATTGGGCAGATGAGAAATATCCAGACTGGGCACATGGCCCCAGCCCCAGCACTGCCTTAGTTACTTGCTTATCCCGGAAAGTAAGAACTTCCTCCCCCTTCAAGCTGGCAGAGAAAGTCAAGTGACACATGACACATGGGGCCTGGGGCCACACTATTGCCACTGAAACTTTATTTTTAGGAAATTAAGTGAAATGTACAACCAAACCCAGAGGGGCGGTGGGGGGGCGGGGGAAGAGAAGGGACGAGGGACCCCGAGGCTCTGCCCTTCCTCCAGCTTTGCATCCTTAGAGCCCCTCGATGCTCCACTCCCAGCCTGCTCTGCGCATGCGTGGTCGTAGGGTCAGAACCCCTCAAAACCCCGACTCCCTCCTAATCCCGGCCCATTGTGTGCATGCGCGAAGACACTATTCCCCGAGGAAGCAATCAGTTTAGGGGGCACGAGGGCTCTAGCCCGCACTAGCCCCAAAAGGCTTGTACGGGGGGGGGGGGGAGGGGCCCAAGGTCGAGTAGTACCTGCCTCCGCCCGCGGATCCCTATGAAGCCACCTCAACCCACCCACGTCCGCGACGCCTCTGCCTGACCCAAAGCACCTCTTTAACTGGCCCGCCCCCCACGCTCCGCCGCTACCCAATCATCGAGCGCTCCCTCACCCGCCTAACCAATCGCATGGCGACCGCTCTCGAACGGACCAATCGGCGCAGGGCTTACTTAACAAATTCGAACGAGTAACCCCACCCCTCCTCACGAAGGAGTGGGTGGGGCGTATTTGAAACATTACAGCGGGCCAGGCAGAGGCGGAAGTAGCTCCTAAGGTGTAATTGCGCATGCGCCGGGGAGAGGTGAGATGGGGGTTGTTTTGTTTGGGGTTTTTTAAGTTTTGTTTTACATAAAAATAAACTATGTTTTATCTTTTCCTCCTAACAGGGAAATATACTTATATTTTAAAATAATAATTACAATTGTTTTATGTATTTCCCTGTTAAGAGGGACTTCCGCTTCCTAGTTTCTGCTTCCGGGTGGCGGGTTAGGCGTGCGCTGTCTGTCACCATGGCAAGTAATGTGGCTAACTTGAACGCTGTGCGGGAGACCATGGACGGTGAGTTGGGCGTGGGCGCTCGTTGCGGGGCTAGTTGAATCCACTGGTGTTTGTCGCTGCCGCTGGGCCGGGCCGGGCGCCGGAAGGGTCTGGAGCTGGGCTGGCCTCGGCAGGGGTTTGCGGCAGCAGGAGGGGCAGCCCTGTTCCTTCCCTCGAGGAAACGAGCGCCACCCTGGTTTCCCCCCACCTCCCCCCCCGGCGTTTTCCCGCTCCGCACGCCGGGCCTGCAGACTTGCCTTCCGCGCTTGATTTGCACGAAGGTTGTTAGATGCCCAGGGGTAGTTAAGTATTCAGCGACAGATTTCCAAAACCCTGATGGGGCAGGAATGAAGAGCAGAGATTGGTAACGAGTTCTGCAAGGGGTGGGGGATACACAGTGCCTGCTGACCCCTGCGTGAGCCCGAGGAGTGAGCCCGCGGGACTGCCCAGAGGCTGGCGTGGATGAGAGATGGGCCTGTTGAACACCCACGGTGGTGTCCTAGGTCTTGGGCCCTGGAACAAGGGTTAGCCACTGCTATCGCAGGGGAGGTATTAGGTAGGTGCCAGCTAACTATAAAGCGGGACTGGAAGTGAAGGTCAGAAGTTCATAGCTAGGGATCCTGGTTTTCTCTGATTTTAAAAAAATATAAAACCTAATTTTCAGATTAAAGCAGTAACTCAAAATCCACGTGTTTCTGTGGTTAAAATGAAACGCCACTAATCTATAGATATGTATCTGTACCTTGACCAAATCCACTAGATATTAGTGGTGCTTCATTTTAATCATGGAAAAATGTGGATTTTGGGTTCCTTTTTTCTTAAACTGAAAATTGAAATTTTTTTAATGAGAGAAAACCAGGATTTCAGTTCACAACAAATGCCCCAAAGGGGGGGACTGTGAGCACAGGACACTGGACAGTGCCCACTGGTCCTTGAGCAAGGTGAATGAGAGGCAGGAAGATGACCTTGCAGTCACTGGGGGTCCTCGGGACCAGAACCTCCTTCCTGGTCAAGCAGGTGGATGCTGGGTAAGATGGAAGTATGTAACTGACAGTTCTTATGAAGTGCTGCGACTCCATCACCAGGAGGCAGGAATGAGCCGAGTATATCTGGACCCTTTTTTTCAGGGTCCAAATGGTGAGGGACTTGTGGCTAGGGGCATTTGCCTTTTCTGCTTTCCTTTCTGTAAACCCAAGTGCAGTGGTGCAAAGTCTACCATGTGCTTGCCTCACTTGGGGTGGTCTGGGGGAAGGGAGGAGGAAAAAGTGCTTAGATTCGCACTTCTGACTTCCTAGGGCCTGGGGAGGCATAATGAAGGGCTACAGTGGAGTAGGGAGTGAAGATGCAGCTGGTTGTCGGATAGCTTTGGTTGAATGAGCAGTGCAAGAGAGCTCAGTGATGAAAATGCCAACACAAGGGGAGACAGGTGAGGGGTAATAGAGTTTGGGAAGGAAGAGGTTGATGCAATGAGGAGTTAATGGAGGACTGACCAGATTAGTGTCATGGAACATTATGTATCCACATCTAATATCACAGTGAACTGGTTCAAAAGTTACCTGGAAAATCAGGCACCACTTTTTTGACCTGTTCAAGGCAGTCTTGCACTGTTATAACAGGCCTGTACATCTGTTCCGGATTCAAAATGCAGTTACACTAATCTGGGAATTCCTTGAGTCCAAACCCTGAGTTTTCCTGTTGGTTGTTCTGTTAAACAATGTAAATAAGCTCTTTCCACTACGTAATCAAGGTAGTGATTTTCTGTAGCTTGACCAAATCAAGTATGCAGGGTGAGCTCAAGATGCTGTCTCTTCACAACTGTCTTGTTTTTTCAGAATCGTGTTCTGTTTTGTTTTTTTGCAGCACAACTTTATTGTGCCTATTTCAGTTATTTACAAGTCGTTTTTTTTTTTCTTTTATCTTTGGGAGCAGGCACGAATGGGGCAGAATGAGGTTCACCCTTCAGTACCCAGTTTTTGTCTAGAGAATTAGTCTAATCTCTCTCTAGACATAGTGAAGTACTGGGAAAATTAAATACAATAATAATGGAACCTGAAGGTACTTTCAAAAATTCAGAGTAAAAATAGATTTTAGTGTTGCTCTGATGTTGTTTTTTCCTGTAACTCTTACTGCTGACAGGAAAAAATGGCTAAAGAATTTTTTAGATTCATCAACTGTGTCCATTAGTAATTTTCACATATGAAAACTGGATAGGCCTATTGAAATGACCTTTGTAAACAATAGTTTAGGGAAGAACTCACAATGGTGGTATAAAATATGAGAGAGACTGCTAAATAGTCTTTCCTTCAAACTTCAAAATAGTCTTTCCTTCAAACTTGTTAATTAGTTTAAGAGCTAAATTTCTTGTTTGAGGGGAATAAGAAGAAACACTTCACATTTACTTGAATGAATGGGTGGCAACAGGGTTTCAAACACTAGTTGGGAACATAGGTCTAGAAGGCTTGATCATGTTCAGTGCCCTAGTATCAAAATTGATTATGTCATATAGTCATTTTCATAAACTGCCCAGGCTCCATTTTAAACCTAGTAAGAACTTCATACCCATTACTGCTGTTGGAAGGCTGTTCCTGAGCTACTTAGTTTTAATGGTTGGAGATATTCCTCTAAATTTCCATCCTAACAGGTTGTTTTACTTCCACTTTTTATTCATTGGTTCTTGATTCAATGGTTATCTGATTCAACTTCTATTTTAATGTTTTACTGTTCTCAAGAAACCAAAGATGCTTAATAAGTAAGAATGAATAGTAAATTGAAGTACCGCTTTCCTGAGCTGGGTTTCAGCGCCGCTGTGTCGATGTGGTTCTGGAAGTCAGAGGATGAACATTACCACCATTCAGCCCTTGCCTGCTCCCCACACATGCATCTTTGTCTGTCTGCTAGGGAATTCTGGGTTGCCATTGGCAACTGAGGTTCAAGGCAGGGAGAAAATGGAGGGCAGTGCAGGGAAGGTGAGCAATGGTAGAATTTACCTTCTGGGTTCCAGAGCTGGGACAAGCCATTGCCCTGCTGCCAGAGGCGGATTGTCTAGGCAGCCAGAAGCCTTGAATTGGACACCCCTGTATTAGGATGTTGCATAAAAGATGGATACTGCCTCCTTTGGCTCTGTTTTTTAATTTAAGTGGCTGTGCTGTCTGAATTCAGTGCTATCACATGTGTAGAATCCAGGCTTCTCAGAGGACTTAAGCACAGGAATACCCAAGTTTGTGAATCTTGACATGCTTAAATTGGAGATGAGCACCAGGCAATCCAGTTCTGCCACATTTGTGACAGTTCTGAGCATTCCTACAGAGATAACTCTAGGTCTTGGAGAACTTTACTGGCAAAACTTATGACACTTGTAGAATTTCATTCGTGTAGGTGGCTCTTGTGTGCTCCTGACAAATTGTTTTGGATAACGTTGTGAAAGTGCCTAAGTCTGTTTGTCTTTTTGGTTTTTTTAAGTGACCTAGGCAGTAAGGACTTTAGTTCTGTTGACTTTCAAAGAAGCTTATGCTACAATAGGCCCAGATGTTTAAGGTATTTAGGTACCTAGAGGAATTTTCAAAAGTGCCTATCATTCTAACTCCCAGTAATTTCAGTCATGAACACTAGAGTGGTTTTAAAATAAGGTTCCTGAATTACTTATCAGCTTTTCATAATTTATCCTTTGCTTTGCTTCAGTTCTCTAAGTGAAAGATGAGGTGAATAGTACCGGATTTGCTCAAATCCAAGACAAGGGTTTTTTTTTGGGGGGGGGG